GGTAATTCCAAATATCTTGAAAAAACAATCTCAACAAGTGAATATTCTTCAAGTTGAGAAAAAACACGCATCAATATTTTTATGATCCGTCCCTTTTCAAATGATTTACCTGGGAAATGGTTATATAGTTCAAGGATAATTGGAAGTTTACTCCTTATCTCTAATTCTGCCATGATCATGCCCAATTGTTCTGATGTTAGTTCTGTTTTGTGTTTGACCAAGAAAGGAACGATGTCCTGATATAATTGTTTGTGGATAAGGAGGAAAGCTGTACTAGTAATTGATTGGTTGGCTTGTGATGAGTCCATGGTGGATTGAGATAGTTCTAAAGATTTAGATTTATTTTTTGAAATTTTTCGTTTCAAACGAATAGGTATACGAACAACACCTTGAGAAATGATGGAGGTTGAAAAACTTCTAATGCCGGGGCTTTTTGACCTAGGATTGGGTATATGCCGTATAAGTAGGGAGTTTGGATATATGGTGGGCGTGGATGATGATATCGTGAATATTAGTGGACCATTTTTCAGAATTTGCAACTTTTGCAGAATTGACGACACTTGCAACTCCAGCCTAAGGCGTCGCATGGCAATATAAATGGCTCTGAATAGCTCTTAAAGTGCCCTATAGTTTGTTTGAATGGATTGATGCTTTCAGTATTTGACAAGATTGAACCATAACTTGGTTGTACTGTTGACTGTTTTCCTGTAATAATATGGCTCGATCAAAATTTATTCTTTTTGGTTAATTTAAAACCTTTACACTTGTTGGAAATCGCCCTTTTTTTCTCTCTAATTGGATTGATTCAAGTTAATACTCCAATTAAACACCCTCGATCAACCTCTATCTCTTCTTATTTTGCGTAAGCACTCGATAATGGCCCGATCTCATCGTCTTCGCTAACAAAAATTATCATCAAATTTTTCAACCAAAAACATCCTGCGATTTCCGACCTGTTCGATCGGAATTAAAAACGCCCTATAAAATCAAGAGCATTTCTACACATTATCAACAACGTTCCTATATTAAAGGTTTTGGGTTATCATAAATGCACTTGATCGTTCTGTCAGGGCCTATGGTAAAGAATATACCAGAGAGAACAACCGTTTTCAGATTTGGAAGATTTTGCTCAAAGAACTCGAGATAACCTTTGTAAAAATGTGACACACAAACGGCTAATGGTTCGAAAAAACTTTCATCAAACATACAATCATAATCATTGAAATGGTTGATGCTTTCATAACCATGGAAATCCCATGTTGTTTCACCAGGGCCAAACTTCAATACATCAAGGTCTGACTGATTCTTTAGTCTTTTCAAGAGTTCAACACCACCAATCCCAAATAATCTCGGTGCAATAACATCTCTAAAATCAGCATCTTCTTCATCATAATATTGATGATTCATCAAATAATGGTCAAATAAATTGAGGACTTCAGAACAGTATTCACATTCACACCCATTCCATAATAAATCTGAGACCAAAATCTCATAACAGGCACATGTTTGCAACAACGTTGGACTAGCCAACACTTCTAAAGATTTGAGAGTTGGCAACACTTTTTCATACAATTTTCTTCTTCTGACATAATTACCTTCAACATTGTTCTCAAGTTTCCCATCTCTTGGTGGATTATGACGAATTGAAAGGAATTTTAAACCTGGTGGTAAATGAAGTAAGAATCTGTTAATATTGACATCCCATTTTTCTGACAAGTAATGATCTCTATGAAACGTCTTTTCCTGTATGGATAATTTCTTCAAAATTGTCAACTTTGGTGCCAGATCATCAAGAAAACTATCCAAACAATCGCAGTTTTTCACTTCACACCCAATTGCCATTTCTAATTCCTCAAGGGATCCAAGGTCAACACATTCTTCTACGAATGTGATTGTAAGGTTTCTTAAAACAGCATTGTAATCATGAAGACCATGGACATGATTGAAAGCAAGTCTTTTTAATTTCAACTTTTGTAATCCAACTTCTGATAAAGTCTTTAGTATCCTCAAGGAAGCGGACTCTTCGTCAATAAGGATCAGTTCTTCAAGGTTGTTCAAAGATGGAAGAACACTTGGGAATCTCTCTTCTGTATTACTATGCAATTGAATTGTCAAGGATTTCAAATTTTTTGTTTCTTTGATTTGATCAATATCATCTGTAACGATCTTTTTTGGTGAAGTTATCGAGACGGCTTTGAGTAATGAATCTGGAACATCTAAAACTTCGATATTTTTGGCCTTATCTTCGAGTGTTTCAATTAGGTCTAACAGCTGCTCATTGCTATCTTCATAGTTGAATACTTTGTCGAGTATGATGACCTCTTTCACTAATGATGAATATTTGACGTTTTGTAAAGATTGAATTAATCTATCTAATTTGAGATGAATAATGTAGTCATTTTGGTCCTCTCTCTTGTGTAAAGACCTGTAACCTGATACAGTTGTCCAAGAACAATCAATATACCAAATATTTGAGTGATAGACAGGATCTTTTCTTATGCAAATTCTTTTGTATAGCCTTTCGAGGGACACATGATGGAGTTTCTTTGAGCATTGAGCAGTTGAACAAACATCTGATTGCGGGAGGAACGACAAAATTCTTGACAAGACAACGCTGGGAAGTTCAGTTAACATGATAAAAGGTGCAATAAAAGGATTTCTTCAGGTCTCAGATAGTGAATGGTTGCGAGATGTTGCAAATGATTGACAGAGATGAGCTTTCTCCCCCAAAAAAATCATGGACTGCTCAGTGCTCAACAAAATCGTGCGGTCACCAGATTTTTTTAGTTATCTATTTGATCTATCGTTATAATCGTCAACTACGAATTTGCACAATCCAGCCTCAAGGGAGATCTGATTAAGCAATACTGTTTTGAATAAGTATGTTTTATATTATATATTTAAAGTGGATCTGGCTTGAATGTCGCTAGATCTTGTAGATAATAATCTCTTGCTTGTATGAGCTTAAGATCATTTATACGTAGTGGCTCTGGAAGTTCTTTCCCTATACTCTTGTAGTGCTCAATCTCATACTCATAAGTTAAGACCAACACTTTCTCCACGATTGATAATACTTCATTCAATGCGTTTAGTAACGGAAGTCTCTCTATTGGTGTCAATTCATTCAATTCTCCTTCGAATTTATCATAATATTTGAAAAACGCACTTGTGAGTAAACCTGAAAATAGATCACCACTCCCTGAGAATGATGCTTTGATGGATGGTACTTTGAAATAGAAACCTTTTTTGGTTGAACTATTGATCTTTGTGGAACCAGCACTGTATAAATGGTCATCATCGTCATCAAATTGTACAGAAGTAACAACAATATTCTCTATCCCTGGATATTGATTATAGAACTCACTGATTGACTTTTTTAGTGAGGTCAAATCATTTACTTTCACCCCTGTTAACACTTCAACTTCTAACTGATTTGGTGTAACTAGGTTAACATAACCAGACTTTAACAATTCTTTATAAATCTCAATATTTCCTTCACTAACATAAATCTTCCCATTATCACCAAGAACGGGATCTAATATCCATTTTATATGATTCTTTCTGCAAATATCAATACATATCTCTCCAATGGCTTTTAACCCTTCATCATCCGGTATGTAACCAGTTAGAATGGCATCGTAATCAGTCCCTATTTCATTCAAACCTTGATATATTTCTTTCAATTCTTCAGCAGTAGATCTTGTTCCTTTGAAGCTTCCATACGCTGGATGGTTAGAGAATTGCACAGTGTTCAAAGCATCAACGTCCCAACCTCTATATTGTAGTGGAAATGTGGCTGCACTATTTCCAACGTAACCATGGACAACATGTGACTGTATAGAGAGCAGCTTATGGATTCTTTGGGACTCTTTGGTCATTATCTGATGGGTGTTAGATCTGGCTTTTATGTGATAGTGTATCAAACTTTCTTTATTGAAGGTCGACAGACGTTACAAGTGTTGACTCAGGTTCGCGAAAGGTATCATGATTTAACAGTATGCGTCAACACGGATCAAGCCTTTGAAAAACCTCAGAGTCGCTTTAAAAACACCCTGAACATTTATTTCAAGGTGAGTAAAATTACTGGCTATGAATTGATGTAAATATGGGGAAACAGATGAAGATATATAAGCTCAGAGTAACCAATTTCAAATCTGGCAGAATTACGTGTCAGTATTTGATTTCTGTAGTGGTGTTTGGATGCTGAAAAGCCACTTCATCTTGAAATTGAAGAACCCTTTGGATGAGGTTTCTTATAAGTTAGAACAACAGAGCCATTGCTACTGAATTCATCGATTATCAGCTCTGAACTACCTATTTCACAATATATAATATGGTCAAGATTGAGTCAAAGACACATGATGTCGGCTTTCCAGTTTATGGGGCCAAATTTTTTGATGATAAAACATTAGTTGTTACTGGTGGAGGAGGTGAAGGTAATAATGGTATCCCAAACAAGATCACGGTTCTAAATGTTGATTACGCCGACTCTGTTCAATTAGAATCTAAAAAGTCTTTTGAAATTGAAGGTAAAAATGATTCACCAACATGTTTGGACATAAGTGGCAATACAGTCTTGATTGGTTGTAATGAAAACTCAACAAACATTAAAAATGGACAAAACAAGCATTTACGAAAATTTAAACTCACAGACGAAAAAGAGATCACATTTGATTCTTCTGCTGATATTGAAGAAACCAAGGATCCAAATGATTACCAAAAGTTTGTCACAATTTCTAAAGACGGTTCAATTGCTGCTGTCGTTTCATCTAAAGTTCCAAGTACAATCAAGGTTATTGACCCAAAAACGTTAAAAGTGTTAGACGTCATTGATGAAAAAGATGAAATAAATGATGTTCATATCAGTCCAAACAGTAAACAAATTGCATACATTACAGACTCAAGCCTAGTTGTTGTGGAGAATAGTGAAAAACCAATACTTAAATATGATAGATTTGCTCCAACTTATTGCCTGACCAAAGTCAAATTCACAAAAGATGGTGATTTGATAGTGGCTGTTAACTTGAGAAATAAACTAGGTGTGTTGTTAGCGCATGTGATTTTTGAAGATGATGCTTTAAGAGTTAAGAAAGCTAGAGTGGTGAATAGCAAAACTCAAAAAATCACAGCATTGGATGTCAGTGACAATCTTGTTGCTGTTTCTGGTAACGATAGTTCCATTATCATTGCAGGCTTAGAACATTTTGATGTTTATAAAACATTAAAACAAGTACACACTTTTGCAATTACCAAAGTCGTATTCAGTCCAAATGGCAAATACTTGGCCAGCACTAGTGTTGCAAATACTGTTAATGTGATCAAGATTCCTGAAGATATAGCTAAATCTTACTTCTGGTTGAAATTCCATATCTTTGTTGTCTTATTTGCCCTTTTTGCTTATTATTTGGTAAACGCAATCCCACAGGAGAAATTTGATGAATTTGACAAATTAATCCATTATTTATTCGATGAGAATCCATATGATTATTATGTTAGCCCAGAAACTGGTGTTGCAGAAGAATCTGTCATCACAGAGACATTTACCGAAACAAAAGTTGTTGAGGAAACAGTGACAAGAATCAAAGAAGGTGACATTGTCGAGGTCTCTACAATTAGTTATGCAAAAAACTGAAGATGGTGACATTTATGAGGATGCTTCTAGTTTGATTTGATGTACTATACAGATAATTCTAATCTTTAAAAAACTGTTCATTTGTAGTATCAGCTTCTGAGTCATCAATAGCTTCAACTTTCTCTTCTTCAACTGATTCTTTTTTATCTTCTTCTTCCTTCCCAGTCTCAAGATTCTCATCTTTTGGTTTCTCAGATTCCTTCTTTTCCTCCGTTTTCTCCTCCGTTTTCTCCTCCTTTTTGTTCTTTAAAGCAGTTTTCTTTGCCTGTGCAATTAGTTGATTCCAACCATTTTCATCCAATTGTTTCTCACTATTGCCATTTTTAAACTTCAAAGAGTTTTCCCATTGTGCTAGTTGTTTTCTTAAAATCTTTGGGTTCTTTGGGACAACAGAGTCACAATTTGCATTCCACAATATCAAATATTCATTATATCTTTGTTCTAGTTGATTTCTAGTACCAGCCACAGGAAGTTCCAGTTTTGTCAGTTTTTGCTTTAATCCAGATGTTGATAAAGATGGATAGTCTAATTTTGTAAGCTTCTTCAAGTTTGAATTATTCTCTTTAGGTTGAAAATAAGGGGATGGTGATGCCGGGGTGGATGATTGTGTGGGTATACTTGTACTTCTCTTGCTTGGTGATGATGTTGAAGGTTGAGGTACGATGGCAACTTCCGGTTCTGGGTTTGCTAAACAAGCATCAATGTGAGTTGACTCTAAAACTTTCAGTGGTAGCAACCTGTTACATATTGGACATGTTCCTTTCTTCTCAGTCTCTGATTTGTGTTTCTTGAAAAGGCTTTCAATGCCATTTGCCTCCGACTTTCTTTTCTTTGGTTCATCTATTATTATCACATCATCATCATAATCTTCGTCTTCTTTATCCAACACCTCAATACTATTGCTGTTTGAACCCAGATCATAAGAATGCTGTATAGGTTCGTTGTTTTTGACTTTGGGTATTTCTTTGGCAATCTTGAGGTTTTCTAATAGATCATCTCTAACACTTCTATAACTAAGAACAACTTGCTCTAGTAAAACATTCCTGCTAAGATTTGATTCCCTAAGCTCTTTTGCACATATGGGGCACTTTGGGGTGTGTATAAGATATTTACGTATGCAAACTGAACAAAAAGTATGACCACAACTGGTTAACATTGGGGCTGAAAGAAATTCTTTACATATATGACATCTTAGTAATGAATCAATCTCGAACAGCTTGGGTATTTTTGTTGTTTTGAAATCCAAAGGGTCAGTAATGTTACTGAGATCTCCTAATAAGTTCATTCTTGGAAATGCTGAGGTTCTTGATGGTGGGTATGTAGGTGAGAATTTCCGAGTATTGAATGTTGGGTCTCATCGAGAGTTGTTGATGTTTGATCCATCATAAAGTTTTTTTGCCATTTACGACGCGATTGGAAATGGTTACAGACCCTGTCCGACACAATATGTAAACAGTAGACCATCCATCGCGAAATCTCGCACTTTTTTTTGGGTAGCGAGACGAGGCGCGAGACGAAACAGGAAAGTCCTCTGTTAACGAGTACGCAAACGAGTTACCAAAAAAGGTCTCTAAAACGAGGTATTTTGGCGAATTTTTCACGTGATTTACATCACGTGCACTAACTTAACTACTGTACTGTCCAATAAACCGGCCATAGTGGTTTAAACCTTTCCATAAACGAGTAATTTGACGAAATCTGAATAGTAAAAATTACCCAAAACGAGACGAAACTCGCAAAATTTTTCCGCCAAAACGAGGCCAAAACGAGACAAAAAATTGAACGATGGATGGTCTAGTAAACAGTAACAGAGACTAAAGTTCAATCCAATTATTTGAGGAAAAGATCGAAGCCCTTCCAGTTTTGTGACTTTTGTATAACTAAATGCGAAGACCCACAAAAAGACCTTGCTATTAATGTTTTCAAATCACAAATAACTATAGGGTGTGGTGATGTACATGTTGCTTCAGAATCACAGACTAGTTCGAAGATCTGAAGAGCATGTACTTGACTGAAAACTCTTTGTGCAACTTGATGAACTTGAAAGTTGACACTGAAACACTGCAACCCATTACAGAGGATCTTGAAACAAAATGTGTCTAAATCAAGTTCTTTATGGGTGAAACCTCTAGTAGGCTAGTGGGCCAGATTTCCATTATGAAAATATTTAAGGGACGCGTATCCATGAAAACTAACTCGAAAATGTCAGAAGTTGAAGCTTCACTCTAAGATTGCCTCAAATTGACAGGGTTTCGTAATTTTTTTTGAAGTTATATCTTCATTTGGGGTTTGATTTCTCTACATGTAGCACGCTTGTGATTATGGAGTCTCAAGAAAGAAAAATCCCGATTTTCAAAATGAGGAACATGTGGTGGACGCTGGATGTACGTGAACATATTGGCTTAAGCCCCTAGTTGCCCGTGTAACTATGTGCGCAGGGAATAGTTCTGGCCAATCAGACACTTTCCAGCTTCTCTTCATGCTTCAGGACGCAGATTTCACGTCTTTAGTGTTCACTCACTTGTGAAATCTGAGCGTGTCGCGTTTGTTTACTTTTCGTTACGTAAGCAGCAATAAGGAAAAAACTTCATCGCGTTTCTAGTTTCACTTCTTTTTGCCGCCTCATATACAGCTCTGCTTTCCCTTTCTTTCAAAAAGACAAACCTGTATCAATCAATCAACCCTCATCCAACAAGAACCATAGTGCCCAATATTAAGCTGACAACAAACAAAATAACACCAAAACCCTTACCGCTCTTTCTAAATCAAAGGATTATTCAACCAGGCGAGTAGAAAGCCTTCAAATAGCTGTTTTAATACACCTGTCACTTCAACTGTGCAAATATTAACACCAATTCCTTTCCTTTCAAAAGAAGCACTGGCGTTACACTACTCCCCAGGGACCAAAGAAACAACTAGCTGCTCTGGATTCTCAAAGCAAATACTTGATTCGATTTAGTCTTCATTATAAATAGGGGTTTGCTAGGTTGTGCTGTTCTTCTGCGTGGAAATCTCAATACTATACATACAAATTTTTGAAAGTAACAGATATGCAATTCAATCAAGATCTCAACTCAAATTTGATCAAGTCACTTACATCTGTTCATTTACCACCACCTCCTTCTTCTCATATGAGTCAACAGGCTCACCACCCTCAACCTCAACAACTGGGTGGAAGTTTCCAAGCAGCAGGTACAAATGAAATCATATTAGATGAAAGGGTACCATTGAAAAATGCTACAGACTTGAATATAACAACAGTTTCTGAGAATCATCCAAGGTTTTTGAAAGCTTCTAAAAGAAGAAGTAACACAACAGATGAATTATCACTGCCTTTAACCACACCTCCTCATACGGTTGGTAGAAATGAAACGCGTCCAGTTAAGAAGAATACTCAAAAGATTGATGATACCCCATTGAATACTGGTAGATCTAAAAAGCAGGTTACTACTCAAAATCCACTTTCACCTCAGTATTCATCACCATCATCAACCAATATATCTTCAGATCCAGCGGTTCCTTCAAACTCATCAACAAAAAAAGTTACAAAACCACCTCAACCAACCTTCATATCCAGACCAAAAAGCCCAGCTATTCAACAGGAAGTTTTTGAACTGCCATCTCCTAGCAAAATGCCAAAAATTGTTCATGATTCTGATGCAAAACCTCCATATTCATATGCTACATTGATTGGAATGGCAATCTTGAGAGGTGAAGATAGAAAATTGACATTATCACAAATTTATTCTTGGATATCTTCAACTTTTAAATACTACCGTCGTAATGATGTTGGTTGGCAAAACTCAATTAGACATAATTTATCATTGAATAAAGCTTTTGTTAAAACTGAAAAATCATCTGATGGGAAAGGTCATTATTGGGAAATTGTCAAAGGGTTTGAAATGCAATTTGTTAAAGGAAAATCTGGCAAAAGGTCTTTTGGTAATCTTCAATTTGAATCTGGGTTGCCAAATATTCAAATCACTACAGGTTCTTCAAGTAACACCACCACTACTACCACAACCATAACGGAGCCTGCAACCAAGCCAGTGAGCAAAGATGTGGTTACACCAGTGCAGAAATCTACAAATAAGAGATTATCATCTGATACTGCAAGTTTCAAGAAGAATAATAGAATCAATAAGAGAGATGATGATGATGATGATGATAGTGAATTTGAATCTGATGATGACGAAGGTTCAAGTGCTGATGAATTATCCAAGACTCCAAAATCACAAATAAGATCTATTGATAATGATTTAGAAGAAAGACCTTCATTAAAGAAATCACATACTGCAATTGGACTGCAAAGATTTTCATTACCAAGAGCTAAACATCTGATGGAAAGTGACGATGAAGAAGATGGTGGATATCATGAAGGTGAAGTTGAAGATGCCAAAAAGCTACCAAGAAAAAAGTTACAAACCAAATCTGTTTCTACTGGTAATGGGTCTTTGAGAAATATTCCATCTTTACAAGCTCCAGATACAACTTGGGCTGCATCAGCTAGTGGTGATCGTGTTATATTCGGTCAAATCAAACCTGATATTACTATTGAATCACCAAAGAATTTCCACCACAACAACAACATATCATTACCATTACCATATACTTCATCATTTAGTTGTAACACAAATTTTGAGTTATCACCATTAAAACGTCAAGAAACTGGACCATTATTAGAGCCATTGACACCATCATCAAGACTAACATCATTCAACACAACAACATCATCAGCAACTGCTGCCACATCAAATCCATCAAACTCACAACAACACATAAGCACATCTGCTTTGGGCCATGGCCATAATAGCATCAATCCAACAAAGACCCCACTACGCAGCACAACATCAAGCAACATCCAAAGCATAACAAATAGTGGACTGGTAAATTCTGCTCAAGCTAGTCATTTTTACAATTTTATCAAAACTCCAACAAGTAGAATGAAAACACCAAATTCAAACTCAATTGTTAGAAAATTTTGGAATTCACCTTCATTCATTGATGATTTTTATACATCTCCAAGTATTCCTAGAAACAGTGATGATGATTATCACAAAAGCTTCTTCGGATCACCAAATAAGAAAACAGAACGTAAGTCTGCCTATTTTGAAAATTCTGGAACTTATGGGTTTTCTGATTTATTTGGCGTTGATATTTGTTCAGTTGTTAAAAGAGCCGTGGAAAGTGTCAATGATGATGATAAGGAGCAAGAGAAACACAGTCTTTCTACAGTGGAACAGAATGGCTCCTCTACAGATGATGATTTTGATGGCAATACAACTGTTTGATTTAGTTTCAGTTGATGATGGTTTAGTTTTTTTTTATATTTATTTTCGAGTTGTGATTTCAAGGTAACGGTTACGAGTGTACATTAGTATTATAAAGGGGGATCAAAGATTTCATTTATTAAAGGATACTACAATTTTTTATTATATTTTTTGGGGGTTTATTTTATTTTTTTCTCTGTTCAATTTGTTCCAAGGTGTGAAATGCTGTTAGTTTTTAAATTTTTTTGTTCGTTTTATACAACCATAAGACGAGTGTATTATAGTGTTATTGTTTGTTTCTTTCACCATCTTTTAATATGATTTGATTTCAATCAGCTTTTTAATTAATGTACCGTAGAAATGTTGTAGTTAGAAAAAGTTCTGGCAAAACGAACTTATAGAAGGACCTGTACACACTATAATAACTTTCAACACGTAACAACATAGCAGGGAAGCCACAACACTAGTGGAATAGCTTAGTTGAACTATTTCATTCACTTCAAGCAATATGAGCCAAAGAAAAATGATGAATTTCCTCACCTATTGGCAGTCCTCAATCAGTACTTGCGCAACCACGACAGCCGCAATTAATACATTCACTAAACTTGACATTTTCATGTTTCTCTAGCGTAGCTCTTGGAACACGACATATACAGGTACCACCATTATTATTTTCAGATCCCTGGATACATTTAATACAGCACAAATTTTCATAACCTTGTTTTTTCCACTTGGCAATCAAATTAGCATCAATTTTCCTATTCTTCAAGCACCAATCATACAATTCTTTGGATATTAGCTTCTTCTTGTAATACATCTCATAAACATATCTCGATCTTTGATGACTCACTCTGAAAATATCCCAAAGAGCTTCACTTTTTCTACCTGATTTTGTTAAAGCTTTTGATTGAACATCTTTCATCTTATTATCAAACTCGTCCAATGTTGGCTTGATTGAGTCATACCCATCTGGTGGCTGCTTACTTCTAGAGCTCTTTATCTTAGCCATTCTATGATTATTGTCTCGTTACTCGCTTTTTAATAGTGTTTTTGTTGTGATGTTTACCTGATTTGAAGTTGTAAATGTAATTTTTTTCTTGATGGTTTGAAGCCCCGGTGGCAAAACTGACAATCAACAGGATATTTATTGAACGTAAAAAGAACATTTTTCAGGCAAAATAAAAGACAAATGTACTGGAAAAACGCAGAAAAAATTAATTCATATTCAATTATATCCACCGTTGTTCTAAATTGCAAAAAAAAGTGCAAAAACGCCAAAAACAAAGATTCGACACCAGCAGGATTTGAACCTGCGCGGGCAGAGCCCAGAAGATAACTAGTCTTTAGAAAATTTCGAGTCTTCCGCCTTAACCACTCGGCCATAGTGTCCCTAATCATCTTGAAAAAGTCCGTTGAATAGCTTAGTGGTGACAGAGCCTTTTTAGAGAAAAGACCCAAAAAATTGGGATATAACAATTTTGACAGATGTAACTGGAACCTGCGAAATATAATAGATTAAAGCACTTCTTTGACAAAGTTTGGAGAGCTCTTTGTTGATTTATGGCGTGTTTTATGCTGAAATCTGTCAAGCGTTTAAGGTCCGAGAAGAGAGACAATAATAGTAGTGGTTTTCCGTCTTGTCAAATCTTATCTGTACTGAAAGCTTCGAAGTCGAAGTTCGAGCTTCAGTTGTTTGTCCATAAACTTGAAGCCAGAATCAAAAATACTTAAGAAGCTCGATAAAATCCACTTTGCCGATGAATTCACATCGACCAGGCATATTCATGTGCATAATAAGTGTTAGATTGTTCTATGTACTACATTTAAAGGAGAGCATATTAACGCTTCAAATATATTAAACCGGCGCATACTTCTTCAAAAACATTGTTTATTAAAACATAGTAGCATTAGTACGGCTAATCATGGCAATGTGAAGATTAATCATTAAAAATTAGAGACTAATTGGCATGCTGTCTAGCTGCAAGCCAGAGTCAAACATATTAAATAAATAGGGCAAAAAAAAAGCATATAGTTCACGACGTGGTCATCATCAAACATAAGTCATTATAACAACACGTAATTGTATGATAATATAAGTGATAAAAAAAGCAGAATTAATAAAAGCGGAAATGTACCAATTAAATTTGTCTTTTGTTTTGTAACCAATGTTTCCAGATCATCAATGACATCTCCCAACCCATAACTAAGGCAACAATACCAACATTAACATTCAAGATAAACATGCTTGTCAATCCTCTGTACTCCAAGGCCTCAACAACTTGATCAGTACTTTGCATAAAGATGACACCACCACAGATTAAAGCAAAAGAAGTGATCAACTCAGTGAATGGTCTTGCTGGATTCAGATTCTTATTTGGGACTAACATCAAAAGAACAAATGTCAATAATCTAAAGAATGAACCAAATGATAACAAGTAACCCCATTGCATATGGATCATAGTGGAAACTTCAGAGGCTTGTTCATGTTGTGACATCAAAATACCTGTCCAAAAGATGGTGAAAACTGGGAAAGGGTTTGGAGAATAACCTGGAGAACCAGCATGAATAGCAGTTGGGTTAATGTTTGTGTTTACTAAAACTTGGTTGAACCTCCATTCTGATAGAATATGCTCAGTGATTAAACCACAAAGACCACTACCGATATACATGAATGCAATTGAAACATGTTGTAAATCTTTTGCAACCCATGCACCACCTGGAGAAGCCAAATGTTCCAAAAACACATTTGTGGTACCGTAAAAGAAAATTAAGAAACTTTCATAACCTTCCATAGTGATCATGCCATGAGGAGTCAATTTATACCAAATTGATCTAGTATTGACTTGATTTTTAAAGATGACAGCCTTATTCCATGCTAAACCGGATTTTGATAGGGCACCACAATAACGAGCTAATGAAAAGATACCTAAAGTAACAAATACACCACCTTTGATGAAATGTGCCAATAAGTTAAAAACTCTGTTAGCCTTGCCGAATAAATTACCGACCGCTATACCAGTTATAACATAAACGAATAAATAACCTAGCATAGGATAGTTGAAACATTTGAATAAAATGCTAATAAAGACATGAAATTTACCCGACAAATTCTGAACAACTGGAGATTGAAAAATTTTATTTAAAAAATGATCTCTTGCAAGAAAAGAAGAGTGTGATCTGAGAGGTGGTGGATTTGTATTGAACTCAACATCTTCATTACCAAGGTCTAAAGAATCTTTATCATAAAAAGGTAGATTTTGAGTTCCATTTTGATTTTCAATTGAGTCCTTGTACTTGTTTTCTCTGTCAGAATGGGAATCAATCAGAGTTGATGGTGAGTTTGAACCACCCGATGCCATTCTTTCTAAATCAACGTTAGTTCCGTTGCTAGGATCATGTCTAGAATCATTTCCTAAATCATCTAATGGAATAAACGGTTGGTTATAAGCCTCATCACCATCCAGATCAATACCAGCAGCCCATTTGGAGGCACTATAAAGAACAGCTAAACAAAAATGAGTAATCAATGCAAATAATAAGATCCATGACATTTTAGCATAAGCATTTTTTGGGTATATATCAGGTACCGAAGCACCAAACACTTTTAAACAAATCAATGAAATGACAATATTGATGAGGTTTATCAGTAAAGTTGGCAAATACCATTTTGAATTGACATTATTCAAAACCAATGAGACTGGGTAGAGAACAAAGAATGTAGCAAAAAGAGTAAAGCAATGAACCCAAAGTGCCGATTTTTTTGGTGAATCAATGGTGAAATAAGTTGTAGTATTGTAAGCTTCCCAGTAGGCTCTTTCGGCTGGGGTTAATTTGGTTTCTAAGATGGGCAACCCATGTTGATGTTTCATTTCATGAGCTACTGGTTCAATGGTTGACAAATTGCTTCCGATTGAGGTACTGATCTCAACATCGGCTTCACTTTCATCATCTGTCATCATACTGTGGTCCATGTTCATAGCGGCAACAACTGAGAGTGCAAACCACCATATAACGAGTCTTTTGGATAACTTCATCTTGATGGAAATTGTGTACTAACTGTTTGAATTGAATAATTGTTTTCTCGAGCCGCCCTTTCTAAATGTTGTTCTGATGGAATTTAAAGGTTATTCAGAACAGCGGTTAAAACTTGAAGAATTGATTGATATTGTGTCAAACCCAATGGTTTATAAGTGATTATTTGTGTCTAGTTCGAAAGAATCAGGCCACAATTGGGGGAGCTTTGATATAAAGGAGGGATCAGAGTTCTATGGTTGTACGATACTTTGAAACCGATGAGCAAAAGGTACTTTACGGATGTTTATAAACATTTTTGTTTTCTTGTGAAGATGATCTTTTTCCCGTTCGAGGGTAGACTTAAATTGTTTGCATACGCTGGCAGAAACGACATTCTTACTCATTCTACCGGTCCAGAATTACTAATGTACTACTTATTGAAGCTTCGAATTAGCACACAAACTATTTAAAGAAACAATAGGCTGTGTGAATTGGAGAGCCTAGAAGAATATCGGCAGGACCCAATTGTCTCTTTCCGATTGTTCTTGATTGTTAATGATTGTTAATTGTACCATGTTTTTAACTTTTTTTTTCAGTTTGGCTGGCAACAAAAAACTGGCATTAAAACCGCATTTCCCGTCAAAAAAATTATGAGTAAAAGTCTGTGGCCTTAACAATATGATTTTGGAGAGGATTTTTGCTAAGAATTTGCAGAGTCTGTAAGCAAAAACAGTGACATTAGTATTCGAAATTCGGAACCAAGATGGATGGTTAATTGTAATTGTGATCATGAGACCGGGTCGAATTAACGAGAAGTTGGAACAAAGTGGGACCTGACTCGTTCCGCTTGCCGGAGTTTACTGGATTTTACGCTGCATCACTTGAAAAAAATTGCAACAGTACAATATGGCAAAAACATATTTAGGCAGGTCAATTCATGATATCTAGCTGATAAAGCTACAACCCCATGGTATGATAAGCCTGTATGGCTCTCAGTTTCAAGCTTCCTATTCATTAAATTAATACCTATGTACATTTTGATGTGTTTTTTTGAATGAATTCTGCAAGCAATATGATGTACTTTCAGATCCCTTTGTTTCTTGAGGGACCCTCTTCTCAATCGGAGTAGCCTCCATTCCGAGGCGCCTGGCAGAAACCTGTGCAACTTCAAGGTTTCTAGGCGGAAACTGGCCCTGCCCACTGCCCAGCCTCCCACTAGGCACTCTATGTCTCCACCCCAGATGTCTTCCTGGGATTCCGTTGAACAATCAAAGGATATCAAAATTAAGCTCAAGCTGTAATTTTAAGATTACACCTTTCACAGATCAAACGTTGTGTACAACTTTGCACCATGATCATAAATAGCTTAACATCGTCTGAGCCTTCTTGAAGATGACGATATGACTTTATCGACAAGTTCTTAATTTAGAACGTTCATGGATATTACACTGGTAAAGAGCTGTGCAGTAGTACTAGACGTCTCTAAATTATCTTGGACAGCTATAAATAATACAATCATGATCTTACTAATGATGATAATGATTTAAAAATAGCTTTCGACGAGACTAGTTGCACATTGTGCAGGCGTAATTATTAATCAGTCAACTGTACTTGCTTGAAGTATAGGTAAGTCTATCAGTGCGAGTATTTCGATCATTCTTCAGCTACTGAGTCAGTTCTATTCAACTGAACATCCAAGTATAGAGCAGAAACCATTATTATATCATGAGTTCAGTACTCAGAAGACTGATGCTATTCTGATCTATATTGAACATGTTGTAAAAACTTCAACTAGATTTCAGAACGTCTATTAATGAAAGATAGCCATTAACAGTAACCGGGGGTCATCTTAGCACTCCCCAAATGGTCTTGCAACTTCTAATAATAGTTCCGATTATGAACATTTGCTCAAAATTCTAATTTTATACATCAAGTCTTGAAGGTTTACGAATCAATATTTGATGTGCTCCTGATTCCTGATATGTTTTAACAGAATTTGTCAGGTATTACATAACCAGAATAACCAATTATGCACAATTCATCAATACTCAACATTTCACATCAACTATAAGAAGAATCAAGAATCCACTAATTGTAACATTATATGTATATTAATAGAACATCGGAATTACCTTATATACACACAGTAGAGGATATTCTGTCAGGTTAAAACCACGAATAAAATAAAACAAGTGATCATTAAATCAACATCAACTAGAAACAATGGCTGTCACAAGAAACTCCAATAGAAGAAACACCTCTTCAACCTCTTCAACCTCTTCAACCTCTTCAACAACTAGAGTAACCAAAACCAGAAAACCAGCCAGAAAAACCAAGGCTAATCCTCGTGTTACAGCAATTGAAAACAATATTTCTGCATCACATGCTGCATCAACATCTGAAAACACACCAAACTCAACCACTTCAGAAGAAAATTTTTCAACAATGGTAGTTCAACAGTCTAGTATTATCTGCACAAATT